CGGGGAAGCCGCGTGAGGTGCCTCTCTGCGGGCTTGGGAAGGGCCTGCGTCGGGTTTCGGGCGAGCTCGGCCCCGGCCGGACGTCGGGGTGCCCGGTTGCCTTCGTGCAGGAAGGGGCCAACCCCCCGGCGCTTGCGTCTATCGCTGAGCCCTGGTTTTGCCGAGAGCCTGCAAGCAAATGGTTTAACTTTAAAGGTTGGGAAAAATGCGTTTTAAAAAAGGGTGTGTATGACCTGTGAAAAAGCTAGATTAAAAAGCTAGATTCTTTTGCTAGTAACGTGGTTTACACTTACGTGACTGTTCACGGTGGCGACTTGTTTTTAATGGAGCGCTCCTGAGATTCATTCTTACCCCCAAAGATTTAGATAGTTCTGAATATTATATTTTTGGAGCTCTGTGTTGTTTTGTGATGTGTCGCTGAGAGTCAAAGCAGGTTTTCCAACGTAAATCAGTTGTGGATACTGATTTTAAAAGACTTGGCTATTTTCCCATGCTTGAGTTGTAAATAATCACTTATTATGGAAGCCTTGCTAGTGGAATGGGTTACCTATAGAGCCTTGTGTAGATCAGAAGTGAAATACAGCCACGAAAACTGCAAGGCCTTTGGTTTGCAGATTTTGAAAGCTTGTTTTAAGGCTTCTCACAGCAATAAAGGTAATAAGAATCAGAGTAGTACTTCTCAAACTGAAGTGTATGTGGAGTTGGATTCTAGGTGTTAAATCTTACTTTTTCCTTGGTGCAGGTGGTTTCATGCAGTTGCATGCAGCCTTTGTGAAGATGAGGCTTCTTGAGATGGTTGAGACAGTGTAATAATTTATTTCTGCCAAAAAGAGCTGAGCTGTACGCTTCTGCTGCCTGCCCTGTGTTGGGTCTGGCAGGTGATGGAGCATCAGAGCCAGCACAAGGAGGAGGAAGCAGGAACGTAACTGTCAATAGCAGCAAGCTCAGGCATCTTGGAAAATCTTGCTTGAGGTCCAACTTTGTGAAAGTAAATATGTGCAAAGCCTTCAGGCCCAGTTTATTCAAGTCATGTCATTTGGCACGTCTGTAATTTCTTACAAAACTGCACCATGAGGCAGATCCTAAAGAATAGAAGACTGAGGGTTGAACAGGACAATGTGGAGACTGTAATTTGTTGTACATCATTTCCACTTTCTTTTTGTTCTTAAATAGTTGCTGATGTTTTTATTCTGCAGCTGGATGCTTAGTATTCTTATAGGAAGCTTTTGAGGGCTGCTTGTTACAACTTTTTTTTTTTTTTGCTTTTTAATGAAGTTTTGCTTCCCCCTCTCCCTGCCCCCAAAAGGCTTTAAATAAGCAATGATAAAGTAATGGTTGGCTCTGGGCAGAGGAGGTTATTTAATATATAGAAGTTGTGATGATTGTTAGTAAATAACACCTTCCCAGTCAGGAAAAAAAGCTTTATTTCTCAGTCAGAAACACTAATCAGGTATGCAAGGAAAACAGTATTTAGAAAAGTAATGCTTTACATTCTTCTGACTATATTTGTGTTTTCACTTTATTTCACCTATAAGTTATAGTTTACTTTTTTATCCACTTATATATAGTGTGTCTTCATCATGTCCATCTTTAAAACATTCTTTAAAGCTGTAGTGGAGACGGTTTTCACTGGTGACATTTAATTATTTGTGTTTATTACAGCTTGGAGAGTATTACAGTTGGGAGGTTCTGAGCTGGATGCAGTTGAGAGAGGCTGTGGTCAGTGTGAGGTTGACCAATGTGATGGGAGTGTGGGGTATGGAGGAAGCCCAGATGAAAGTGGAGAAACAACGCTAGACGCAATGATTATGGATGGGTAAGAAAAGACGGTGAAAAGAATAATCCCTGTAATTTTTCGCATACTTTAATGTAAGGCTTGTTACAGAAATTGTTGGTTTAGGGCTGACTGTAGGACAAGTTGTATGTTAACTTGTGGAACTAGGAAAAATACTTACCTAATTGGTGGAAGAGTAGCTAAGCATGTTTGTTATTGAATCTTTACACATAGTGCAGTAATCCAGCTCTAGATACAGCAAGTTGCGAAGCAGATGGGTTGTAGCATTGTAAGCTTTGCTTTTACATTCATTGCATAAATTATTTCACTTCTGGAACAATTGTCTTCTATACTTTATTTACTATTTAAAGATATACTGATTAAAAAGTAATTGCAACTATGTGGTTCATGTTATGAGTTTATGTAACAAAATAGTTACTCTACTGAAAATATTACTGTGGATGGAGTTACGGTTACTTAAGCAACATCTCCATGCCTGTGAAAGGAAGCAATGTATGTATGAGGTTTTTCCCTACTAGTGTGATACCATCTGTCTATGGCATAGAACAATTAAAGCAATATGTTAAAGGAGCAAGCTTTCTAATTTAGATGAGAACAGATTTTGTCTAATTAAAAAAATGTACAATTATTCTTGTATTTTTAATAAGCTTTAAATATCTCTCGTTTCCAGCAACACTATGGAAGTTGGGGCAGTTGCAGATCTCAGACGTGTAAAAAATGCCATTGGTGTAGCACGAAAGGTCATTGAATACACTAAGCATACATTATTAGTGGGAGAATCAGGTAATTATTCCTTTAACTGTTTCCAAGTCATACCCTCTTCTTAAAACACTTCCTGTTAAAATTGCCATATATTAATCTAGGTAATTATATTAATATAGGTAGAAGGATCCCCTGACAATCAAATTAATTTAGTCAAATAATTCAGAAGTGTTTACTCTCTTATTACATGTGTATGAATTAGATTTTAGTCCATTATTTGGACAGGAAAAGAAAAATACAATCTTGTGGTCCTTCCACCAATTTAACTGCAAGTATTAACTTGTAATCCTAAGGCTTTGCTAATATCACTGATATCAAAAGTATCAAAGATGATTTGATACAAGGCACTATAGAACCTGTTAGATGTAAACATTTTGTTTAAAACAATGGAATAACTTTTTCTAAGAAGTAACAGAATTAATAGACACTACAGTTACATTTTACTGTTTTGGTATATAATGAGCATAATTATTGTATTACATAGTTTAAAAACAGTGAGAACTTGAATGTAAGAAATTACATTAAGGGCTGTACTCCTAGGCACAACAAAAGAGCGATAGCAAACTGGAGGAATAGTTGCTCTTTTAAAATATGAGCTCGTGCTGTTAGAATAATACTGGTTTCAAAGGAGATGTATGTTCCAGGGAGGTATATGACTAGTGAGTGGAAGGTTACTTGGCTCATAGTTGAGGACTTTTAAAATGTATGTGCCTGCTCAGAAGGAAATGTGGAGATAAGCGTGGAAACTGACATCTGACCATTAAGGGTGAGCCAAGTGCTTTGAAATGGATAAGAAAACATAAAAGATTCTTGAAGGAATTAATGTGTACAGAATGATAGAGAAATAAGTGCAACAGCAGTTTTTTAATGTAGTAAAATAGGGTAATAGAGGGAGGTGAGGACAGTGTTTGATGGAGGGTCTGAGAAGAGAGAGAGAGAGATTTGCAGATTATTTAATTCAGGCAGTTGGCCATGATTAGGTTAGAAGTGGCTTTGGTAAGAGAGATTTCACAGGTGATGCTGAAAAAGAAATTGGTCAGGTGTTAAATAGAAATGCTTATAATACTCCTTTCTCCATCATTGGTAGTTATCAAAGTATTTTTAACTTCTGATCAGTAGAATGAGCAGAAAAGATAAGAAAGATGAAGAAATGAAAGAATTCAAGTGCTGATTTTAAATGTATTTTCCAACCTAAGAAGATAGCTCTTTGCATAACGGAGTCATGTGGACAAGGCTGTTATGCTGAGTCCTTGCTGTCAGTGAGAACGTCCTCAGAAGAAACTGTCTAGCAGTAGTGGCAAAAGAAAGACAGGAAAGCTGAAAATATATCTGAGTAAAAATTGGAGACAGTGATAAATGTTAGTGAATGAATCAAAGCAATGGAGAAGTTGAGAAAGAATAATATTTCTTGTGAAGGAATGTATTTTCTGTGGCAATAGGAACTTGGATAAAGGAAACTATAGTTACCTTTAGCATGTGAAGATTGATAAAGAGAAAATAGAGCTATAGCTTCAGAAGAATACATTTGAACCTTCAAATCAGCATGGGAGAGAAACGACAGTTTATTTTCTGAATAAAAGTATGTGTATTTTCACCAGAAAACCTGGCTAGAATAGTAAAACTTCTTCATATAAATCTGTATAATCTCTGCAGGCTTTTTTTTATTCAAGATACAAAATTGCTGAGGTTATTCTTTACTTTTTTCTCAATAACTAAACTGCACTTTTATTTTAATATATTCAGTGATATAACCCAGGAAAGTCTGCCTGTCTCATAAAATTTAATTTCTGTGAGTGGTTGACACTAGAGACAAGGAGGCAAGCTGTGGCATGCATTAATTTTTAGTTGATCATTTTTAAATGTGTGACTGGGTACATTGTTCCTGGTATTAAAATTTTAATGAAAGTAACATGACATTTTCATTTTCAGTGTTAAAAACACTGATGGAATCTGTTAGAGTGCCATGATACCTGAATAGTCTTCACAGTTCTATTTACTTTGACTCAAAAAATTGAAGCTTAGTTTTTTTAAAACCTTTGGTACATAGACAAATTAAGAAAGAGGATGTATTACAGAATCACAGAATGGCTGAGGTTGGCAGTGACTTCAGGTCTTCTGGTTCAACTCCCATGCTCAAGTAGGGCCACCTGGAGCTGATTGCCCAGGGCCATATCCAGATGGTGACCTCTCCAAGGAGGGAGACTCCACAACCTCTGGGCAATGTGGTCACCCTTGGAATGTAGAAGTGTTTCCTGCTGTTCCTAAGTGTTTCCTGCATGTCAGTTTGTGCCCATTGCCTCTTGTCCTGTCTCTGAGCACCACTGAAAAGGGCCTGGCTCTGTCCTCTTTACATCATCCATTCAGGTATTTATATACACTGATGAGATTCTTCCCAGCCCTCTCTTCTCCAGGCTGAACAGTCCCAGCTCTCTCAGCCTTTCCTCTTAAGAGAGATGCTCCAGTCACTTGGCTCATCTTTGTGGCCCTTTGCTGGACTGTCTTCAGTATGTCCATGTGTCTCTTGTATAGGGGAGCCCAGAAGTGGACACATTACTCCAGGTGTGGTCTCCCCAGTGTTGAGTAGAGTGGAAGGATCACCTCCCTTGACCTGCTGGCAGCACTTCTTCTAATGTCGGAGCACAGCCTGCACTGTTATCTGCCTTTGCTGCAAGGGCACGTTGTTGGCTGACACTCGGCTTGCTATACCTCAGAACCAGGTGATCTTCTGCCAAGCTGCTTTACTGCTGGGTGGCCCCCAGCATGTACTGGTACATGGGGTTGTTCCGCCCCAGGTGCAGGACTTTGCACTTCTTTTTGTTGAACTATGTGAGGTTCTTACCAGCCCATTTCTCCAGCCTGTCGAGATCACTCTGAATGCCAGCATAACCCCCTGGTGCTTTAGCCACTCCTCTCAGTTTTGAATCATGTGCAAAATTTGCTGAGGGTGCATAACACTTTGCCCCATCATCCAGATCATTAAGGAAGGTATTGAATGTCACTGGACTCAATGTTGACCCCAGTGGTACATCACTAGTTACTGGCTCCAACTAGACTTCATACCACTGATCACCACACAGAGCTCAGCCCTTCAGCCAGTTTTCAGTCCACCTCACTGTCTGCTCATCCAGCCAATACTTCCTCTATGAGAATCTTCTGGGAGGCAGTGCCAAAAAGCCATATGGAAGTCAAAGTAGACAATATCCACTGCTTTTTCCTCATCTACCAAACCAGTTGTTTCATCACAGATGGTTAGAAGGCTGATCATGCATGACTTCCTTTGTGTGAAGCCATTCTGATTACTCCCAAGCACCTTGTCCTTCCTGTGCTTGGAAATGGTTTCCAGGGTTAGTTGTTCCATTGTCACATCAGTGATCAAGGTGAGGCTGACCAGCCTGTAGTTCCCTGGGTCCTACTTCTTGCCCATGGTGTAGCTTTTGTTGAACAGGTAAGATAACAACACTGATCAGTTCTTGCACTGTTAGAACTGCTTTCTCCATCCATTGACTAATTTCTTTAGGACAAGTCTTGGAAAACTAGCAATAAAGGCCATGCATACCAATGTAGAACTGAGTCTGGTGATGGACATTCAGTGTAGAATGATCACAAGTAAGGAAAAAAAGAATTATTTTGGTTATCATCTGACAAGAAATTTTCAGGTTAGTCTCCCAACAGGTAGGGAATTTTCATAATAGTGTGCCTGACCTTTTCCCTTTTTGTCCTAGCAATACTTAGAATAATAAGCCGAGTAAAAAGTTTGGAGAGTAAAAATGACTGGCTTTGCTTCCTGGAATAGAAACAAGGCTTCAAAAGTCATGAAAGAGTGACTGACAAACATGCACAAGCACATTTTTACATGTTAAAAAAACCCCAAACCCTGCCTGTTTTTTCTAGAAGTGGGAAAATAAGTATCTGTTTAATTGAAGCTTTCAGTTTTCTTTTCCCCTGAGTGCAGAGAGAGACTTTAATTGTGTCAGTTTTTAAGAAAAACATAGAAAAGCTGTCCAGAAGTAATGGAAGGCTTTTCGTAATTCTTGCACTGGAGAAGCTTGTTCAGCTGTATATTATAGTGAGATTATTAACAAGGATTGGTAATGTAAGTTCAAGCATCTGAATCTAGCAACAGTATCTGTTACTAGGTAGTATCAGAGATATCTACAACTAAAAAATGAAAGAAGAATTGGTCTTTTTTCCCTAACTATAAAACCCATTCTTAGAAGTGCAGCATTCTTTCATTGCTTGTGTCAGTATTCCTTTTGCCCCCTTGACACATACTGTATTAACTTTCAAAACAAGGAAGCAGTCATTTTTAAAACTGCAGGGAAGAACTTTAATGTGATGTAAGCTGGTGGGTTCATTTCTGCAAGTATCGGTGTTTTAGTAGCGAATGTTGTGCCACTATGTTACATACATTTCATAAAAGACTAGCTTTTTAAGGAAAATATTCTATTATTTGTATCATTTAAATATTTCTGTGACACACACAGCCCAGGACACTCTTGCTGCAGGTTATTTGTGTCCACTTGATGAACAGAGTTGAATTTGTTTCTCTTTCAATGGTAAAACTTACATATGTTAACTTATAGTGAATTGAGGAAATTTGATATTGCCAGTGAAGGGAAGGTTTGTTACTGCAGTTGTACATCACTATAATGGCTAATACTGCTCCCTGAAGACATATTTCTTATCTCCATAGAGAATGTAGAATTTCTTGTTTTCTAGATGACATTACATGAATGAATTATCATAAAATATGTGAAAATGTGAAGAATTCAATGTTTTTTGCTTTGTTGCTTTTCAAGCCTCCTTGTTTGCTGTAAGAATGGGGTTTCCATATGAAGATTTAACTACCCAAACATCTCTTTCGGTGTATTCAAAGTGGCTTAATCAAAGCTGTCAGCCAAACTACTGGAAGGTACAGTGCTGTCGTGGTGGTGAAGGGGGGTTTAGAAAGTCAGTAATGCAGCATTGTCTCTTCCTTTCATCTTACATTGAAGTTGTGCTTTACACTTGAAGAAGAAAAAAAAAAAAGAAAGTCTTGCTTATTAAACAGAACAAACTTGGAATTACTGAGTGTTAGGTAGACTTGGGAAGAATATGTGTCTAGCTCTTATTTCTTAGGTCCTGCCTGTTTTGACTTTGCTGCAGTAGTGCTTTGGTGTGGGAATTATTTTTTTTTTTTTAGCTCTAAATTTGGACAGGTCTTCTCAAACTAAAGAAAGCAGTGTTTATTTTTTGATGCATGTGTAAATTTCTGAAAGAAAACCTTACAGTAGCAATTAAGGTCCTTAAATAGTTAGAGAAGCTTTATGCAGACCTGTGAACACATCAGATTAGTGCAGCCGTCCATTAAACTTGCCTGTTGTGGTGAGGTTGGTTTGTTCTTGTTTTGTTGGGGTTTTTTTTTTGGGGGGGGGGGGATTGGTGTTGCAGATTTCTATGTGTTCCTACACTGTCTTCATTGTTTCTTGGATATGAAATGCTGCATTGCTGAACCAGTTTAATTCAATATATACTCTGTTTTTCAGTTGGGAAAATACCTGAGCTATGATACTAACTTGACAATATCATCTTACTCCTTGACATTAGTAAAACAAGCTCAGTTCATCTGTTTTTTTTTTTTTAGCTTGAAAATTTTCTTCATTTTGCTGAAGAATGAGCTTTTTTCTTTTTTTGGCCAGTCAGCTGAGCAAAGGAGAATCTTTAATTAGAACACCATAACTTTCTAGTAGGAAAAACTTTTTACCGTATAATGCCAGAATTCAGTCTTTAGTCTTTAAGTGACACAACCTGTGGGATTTCAGTGCAACTGTATAATTTAAGTATTGGGCATCTGATACCTGTATCAGTAGATTATAGGTATTGATTGTAGTATTTTTAAGTTTATCTGTAATGCAGGATAATATATTATTCATGCAAATCACAAAATAATTACAGAATGTTGTACCAGACTCTTCAAAATCCTGTGGACCATACAAACGGCCTGAAAAAGTAACTTATAAAGAAGAAAAGACCATCTCACAAAGAAGAGTTCATAATCATGATACTATTGGTAACAATTCTTGGTAACTCTGCTGATTTTTTTTTTTTTTCTCATTTCCCTACGGATTAAATCATACTGAGTTTAAAGAAAAGTATTCCATATAAGTATTATTGCCTATTTATAGTGTTTTCAAGATTCTGTTACTTACGTGTTAGGATGGAGTGCCTAACCTTAATGGAGGTTTTGTTTTTGTTTTTCCAGTGCACTGGCTGCACAGCCACTTGCTTAATTTTTTGCCCTTGGCTATTTGTTCATTGCCCTACTGCTTTTTCCTCAGATACCTTGGCATAATTGCTTGGGCAGCTATGGATGCTTAGACAACTGATCAAGGTTAAAAATAATTATTTTTATCTCAATTATAGTTAACTTGGGTCGAGTCTTCCCTGTAGCTGTCAGACCAACTTCAAAGGCTTTGCAGTGGTGGAAAAAGTGAGTGAACAGTTAGTTCTGTTGCCACTCAAAAGCAATGTCTGTCTAACAGTCCTTAAACTTAGGAAATAAAGTTTGCTTTCATTTTTCTTCTATTCTGGCTTTTGACTAAATTAGTACATTTTTACAGAAACTACTATGCTTGAAACAGGTTAGCAGTAGTAGTCCCAAGAGTTTAGTGATTGAGGACTGTTAATTGCTAAGCCTATAAGCTGATTAATGAGCAGATCACACAAAGGACCAGAGCAGTTACAGATTCATGTCTTTCAAAGCTTTATACTTTTTAGTTTTGAAACTTGCAGGTTTTGGTTTAATCTGGATTTTTTTCAGTTTAGCAATTAAGAATTTTTTGCGTGACAGTATTTGCAATACCAAGAATTAACAAGTTGTTTCAAGTGTGATTCTTTCTTCTTAGCTTCCACTCCGCCCTACTAACCACCAGTCAATGTTCTACAGAAGTCAGGAAACGTACCAAATTCTTAGGTTGGTAGGTAGCTTTCTTTACTGGGATATGCAGTCTTCAGTATGTGCTAGAAAACTCAGAAGTTGTGGAGTGTCAGGATGAGAGGGGAATCTGCTAAATACAATTCAGGAATTGGTGTATCATTAAGTAGTCCTAAACTGCTTTGTAGTAAATGATGGTGCTTGTATTTGTATTTCAAGTTCTCCCACCCCGTTGTTTTATATATGAAATGTCTACTTGACTAACAGATTTTGAGAAGAGTCTTCATTCAGAAAGCATTTAGGAAGTTGGTAGGAACTGGTGCCCTTCCAGCCTTTTTGCAAGGGCTAATGATGGCTGTAGTGTCAGTGCCTCTATGCTTTTAGCTTCTACTGGTCAGGAAACTTTTCTGTGAGAAGGAGGTATTGCTTAGTGAGGTCAGAGAATTCAGCTGTTTGAATTCTGCTTCTTAGCTCTCACTTTGTGCTGGAGTTTGATGCCAGCAGCAATTTCTGCCCTGTCTTAAAGAGATGAAGTCTTGCTCTATGGAGAAGCAGCTGATCCCAAATCCTGTATCTAAGCTTCTCTAATATGAGGCAGTGGCTTCCTTATCAGCACAAAATTAGCAAGGGGTAGGCTTATCACAGAATCACACAGAATCACTAGGTTGGAAAGGACCTTCAAGATCATCAAGTCCACACATTTGACTGTCATGTAATTCTTGTTACTTTGGTAGGCAGTTTGTCACCTTCTGCCAAATTTAAGCTCATCCTTCTGACTTTTTTTTTCATCTCCCTGAAGCGCCATTTATGATTCCCAAACTGTGGTGTTCTGATGATACTGATGCAGGATGTGGTTACACCAGGTACTTTTTCTCTACTGGTTAACATAGGTGTATATCAGGAGACAGTGGCTGCTTGGGCAGCAGTAATATACAGCTCTGAACAGTGTGGCACTCACTGTTTTGGATTCCTTTTTGAGCTCCTGTAATACACAAAGTTTCAAAATGTGTTTTTAAAAAAGAACTTGTTTTCTTTAAGAGTATTACTTCTCTGTATTTCAGGATATCAGTAATTTGAATAGTCTGGGTATTGTGGTTCTGTTTGATAACCAAAGTGCCAATTTAATAAATTTCTTAGGAGTATTTCTGAATATGTTTCATCCCTCTTGAAAATTTTAGGTATGGTTGTAATCGGTGGGAGCGGAACTGTTGCTTCTGGGACATCTACTAATGGTGCAGTCCACAAAATTCCAGGGTTAGTACCTCTGGTTTTACAAAAAAACTTTTTTTCCTGCCTCATTTCCAATGTTAAACTTACCTAAAGGTTATATGTTTTAGACTGTGATGATCACAAAATGGCTTTGCTTATTTGTAGGCACTGCCATAAGTCCTAATACTGAGAAACTACATGTGTGTGTTTGAGGGAATGCTTGTTTTTCAGCTCACTTAAATCACCATACAGAGACACAAACAACTGGCACAGTTGTGAGGCAACTTGTAAGGCAAGGCACCAGAGACAAATAAGCATTTCATAGAGGTGCACGGTGTCCACATAAATGTACATAGAATCTGAGCCCCAGGCCTGTATTTTGTCTTTGAGAGATTTTTTTTCTACCCAGTTAGGAGTCTTGTCCGTCAACGAAGTCAGACAACCTCTGGGTTTAGCAACAAGTTACTGAATATACTAATGTCCCCAGATGCTTACTGTTGCCCACTGGCTAAACCTTCCTGCCCTAACAATATGTATGTATGTACACTTTATATATGTATACACTTATATAAAGTATAATAACAAACAGGTGTGCATTGGAGGTGCATTAAGCCTCAGGTCAGTCAGGTTATCACAGATCACTTTTACTGGTAGTTTTAAGACAAGACTTCTGACTACAGTGGACTGACCTCTTTACCTGTTCTGTTCTCCTGTGGGTTTAACGCTAACCCAGCTGGAGGCAGTAAGGCTGACAAAGTTAAAAGTGTGCCCAAGTCGTAAGAACTTGCTAATATCAGGCCAAGAACTATTACATTAATGCAATCCCACTGGAATTAGTAAATTATAGTTTTCCGTAGTTTCCAGTTTTTGTGGTTTTTTTTCCCATTGTTCACTACAGCCGTGTAGGAGATTCTCCAATAGCTGGAGCAGGATCTTATGCGGATAATACAGCCGGAGGAGCTGCAGCCACTGGGGATGGTGACATCATGATGCGCTTCTTACCCAGGTTTGTCCTTAGGGCAGACTTTGCTAGCCTTCTCTAGCAAAATATGAACTCAGCAAATGAAGTAATTGATTAAAAAGACAGTCTGACTTACTGCTTAAGTGGGAATAAAGGAAGGAGTGGAAAGGGAAAGAACAGTAGAAAAATCAAGTTATCCCTATGATCTGTCTTTAAAGAAATGATTTCTTAAATATCTTGATGACAGTTCCCTTAATACTGCCAAGCTGTGAGCAAACAGGCAGCAGGTAATGAGTACACGCCCAACCTGCATGCTTTTTAACAGGACTGATTAGCTTTCTCCTCCAAAGTGTTTTGTTGTGTGAGAAATAAGTGTTATAAATTGTAGAAAGGATGAGGGGTGAGCCTCGGATTACTCAGGAGGGTGGAGAGGTGTCACTAACAATCCTATGTAATTGCATCTAATTTGAAACTGGAAGAGGTGTTTTAGTGCTGTCGTCGTGGTTGCATAACCTGTGTAAAATATGGCTGTTTTCATCACTGAGTCCTGACAGTCATTCTTGTGGGTTGGTCTCAGTGGGAATGAATTATGGAAGTCCGTGGTGAGCATAATGGGCACTGACGCTTGAAGGAATATATAGCAGTGGCCTTCGTATTACTCAGGTGCTTTTTCTGAAACTCTGGCAGTTATGCCTACTAGCTGTTGCATATTTACAAATGTCCTTAATGAGTTTCAAGCTGTTCCAAGCCAGTCTTGAAATACAAGGCAATTGACAACTACATGAATTATCCTGAGGTATCAGATACCAACAGTAGTAGTGAGTTGAGCTCCACTATGAGGTTAATCAATAAAATCTTACGTTACAGTTTAGCAGCCTGAAGGATTTGGCTGTAATGCTTAAAACATTTTGTGCTGGCAGCAATGGGTTTTAGAAAACAACTCAGACTAGATGGTTAATCACAGGTTCCTTGTAGATACAGATCTTTCCTAATGCCATGTTATTTAGATATTCCCATACGAAAACAAAGCATAGAATTGACCTGCCAGAAGTGAAGGAACTGTCAAATAAAGGGCAAAATTGCTAATGTTTTCTGTCCACCTTGAGATAGTAACATCTTACTGAGTTTTTGATTAATGAAGAGACCCCTGTGAAATACAGCTTTATGTTCAGTTATCTTTAGATACCTTGAACCTGTTTGATTGTTAGAATAAATCAAAGATAATAGAGAGTCTCAAAATGCGAGGAAAGTTCTCTTCTGTGGTACTTTGATAACATCTTGCAATCCCTTTTAGTCCTTTTTCTAATTAGTTTGCATGTAGAACTTGAGTAGTAATTGCCAATATGAAGTTTGGCTAAAGATTATTTATCATGTGTTCCCATTATTCAAAGAAGTCAAGGTCTCTCAATGGTATTTTAGAATATATAACCTGAGTATGGCTAACTGTCTGGGTGTGGGGTGGTTGTTTTTTTATTTATTTTAGTTATCAAGCTGTGGAGTATATGAGAATGGGAACAGACCCAGCAGTAGCCTGTCAGAAAGTTATTTCCAGAATCCAGAAGTATGCTCCAAACTTCTTTGGTGCTGTTATATGTGCCAATACAACTGGAAGCTATGGTATGTATTTTGCTTAACAGACGAAGTTTGTTGACCCTATCTAGGTCACAGAAGTAGAAAACTGAAGGTGGATTTTAAAGCAGTTGTTTTTAATTATTCTTTGAATGCTGCAGCAATACTGGCCATTCATAATATCAAATGCTGGTTAGCAGGGCAACTGTGTCCTAGTGTGGACTTGATATTTTAATTTTTCCTCTGCATTTTGATGTCTTAGATGTTCACAAAATTTATGCAAGTCTTAGTAAAAATCAAAAATATTGACAACCCTCATGTGTTTTCCTGGATTGTATATGATTAATTTGAAGGTTTTCAAAAAGAATGCTTATGCCTCCCCTAGATACGGCATAAGGCAGGGAGAATGTGAATGTTAAGCTTAGCTTCAAAGCAGTCCAAGATCAGTCATTTTGCCAGGCATCTCATTAGTGAACTCTTAGATCAGTAGGAAATACAATTTGCTAATCAACATGGCTTATTTAGTTAGACAGCTTATTGCTGTTCTTTGATCTCTTATTTCCCATAGTTCTGTGTTTAAGAGATTAGTGTTGGAGGAACTCATTAAGTTAATCAGGATTGAAAGAGAGAGAGATATTTTCCTAACTTATTTTACTGTTTTGAATTGTATTATAAGGGCATTAATTGCACTACAGCAGTCAGTAGCACTGTATTTTTAAATAAAAATTAAATACTTCCACGATGTCTTGGGTTAAACAGATTGTAAAAGAATAATTACACCATTGTAGTAGAATTACAACTGGGTCTTCAGATGATAAAGTACAATGACAAAGACATTAATCCTAAGTGTAGCAAATTATACTTTTTTTTCCTCTTTCTTTCCTAGGTGCTGCATGTAATAAAATTCCAGGATTCACTCAGTTTCACTTCATGGTTTCTAGCCCTTTGCTAAGTCAGCCAACTGAGCAAGTAGTAGATTGCATTTAGTTTCGTTTGTCCTGTTAATATCTGAACTTGGAGGAAAGTGCTAAGATTCCCCAGGTGTTACTTTTTGAAAAGGTTGTTCATTTTCACTGTTGCATAATCATGTGAACAAGTTCAAAGGTATGTTGATGGTGCAGCTACTACTTCACTGTTTTTAGTATGTTCTACTTTACGGTTTTGTGTAGTGCAAACTAAGCTTAATCTGTAGTTTCCTAATGTAATTATCTTGGTTGTTTATTTCTAAATTATTGTAGGCTGGTACTATAATCTAGACCGAGATTAAAAAACCTGACTTTATGTAATTTGAGGGAAGTGAACATAGTTGGAAAATTATAGTTAGTGCTGACACTTTCACAGTTAGCATAGGCAATTCATCTCTGTTTAAAAACCTACATCTAAGTGAAATAGCTGAAATTGATCTGCTTCACTACTGAAGTCTCTTAAGTCATGAATTTAGTATGCATTACCTTATATCCTAACTCAATTTTTAAACTTTTGCAAACCTCACAATCAAACTGTGGTTCTAAATACCGCACAAAGTTATCTGTTGTATATTTGCTTCCAAGTAATGCCAAGTTTCATGCTTTTGGAGGAAAGTAGAGCTTTGGTCACTGGAAAAAAAACTTTCAAAGAGAATTTATAAAGTAGACAGGTGGTCATATGTATGTGAAGAGACCAAGTGTCTAATGGCTCTTATAGTCTGTCTGTTTTCATAAGAACCAAGCAGCCAAAAATGATGAATAGTAAACATTGAACTGGACCTTCATTTTGCCATTTAAAAACATATTTGGCAGAAATCTGGAATAAAGGGCATTGGAGTGGGAGGGCCTCTGCCTCTACGTAGGAGACTTATTTTGAGAATTGTCTTTCTAAGATTTAGTCAAGGTTTTCTTTTCTCTTGAAAAGAAAATTGCAAATGCTGACAAGCAAGGAAAGGGGGTTGAAAAGTAGTGAAGATTTCAAAGCTTTAATTAAGAGATAAGCAGCATCTTCTTGTGGACTTCTCTAACTTGTTTCACAAAAGCTGAGAATATGTTTGAATAGAGAGGACATCCAAACATCCCTGCTAGTATAAGCCTTCAAGGAGTATTGCATTGAGTCTAACTGTGTGTGAAGACAGGTGGAAATCTTCCTGTCACCTTTTTTGTGGTGGAAGTTATGAGTCTTAATCACAGTGATTTCCTTGTCACTAATATGCTGTGCACTTGCCTTTTCCTATAGCACATCTACCCCCGTAAAGGAGCAGTTGCATACCTAGATCATGACAGTTACCTACAGCTGGTGAAGCTGGGTTTGTCACTTTCTGTGTCTAGAGATACCCTGATTCATTTGTAATAGCAACTTGAGGATTGTTCCATAGGTATTTGAATATCTGTTTGATCGTTTTCTTAACTTGGTGGCTTGCAGCTCATTTGAATCTTTGCTCAAGTTTACTTGAGCTAGGAAAAGTTAAAAGTGGGGAACAAGTAAAATGATCATGTCACAAACACTTTAATTATTCTTTGTCTACTTGAATAAAATCACTAGGTAATAAAAGAACACAATGTATCATTTATAAGTAAGATTGTTTAGATGCTTGTGTACTGTGCTTAGAGTGATTGTTGCCTTATGTTCTGAGTTGGTATCTTTGAAAATTGGAAAAAAAGTTCAAACTAGAGTAGCCATCCTTAATGGCCTGCTGTTGAACTTCACCAACAAAGTAATTTATTTGGTGATTCACTTCTGTGACTGGATCTTTAGAGCACCTTGTAGCACAGAGTTCACTGTAGGCCACAACAAGCTTTAGTCAAGGAAGCTTTTACTGAATATATCTGCAGTGGTTTAAGATAAGTTTTCTACCCGTCCTAGCTACAACCCTTCTGCCATGGCTGCTGTATCTTCAGATAAATCAGGCAGTGAAGTGCCAATAGATTAATAAAATCCCAGTGATTGTTACTTTGGAGATAACGTTGTGGATTGTGAACACAGAAGGTTCGGTGCTGGCTGCTTAGTGGTACTGTCTCAAACGGCTGCAGCTGAATCCACCCACCAGGATTCATTTTTGAGAGAGGTTTGGAACATCCCTGGCTTGCTTCCTAGTGTGCTTATGCTGCTCTGTGCTAGCTAGCATACGCCTCTAGAGGCTGCGAGTGCCCATGCTGAGAGATCACGAGCGTTCTATAACTTGGAAGTCACTAAGTTACAATTCTAACTTACTGCATAGTCAGCTCATCTATACATGAACTTGCCTCCATGAGACATATGCGCTAATACATGTGGTTTAATAATGTAGGTTGCTTTCTCATGCTGAACTAGCTGCCATAAATTAAAGGGTTAGTTTGTATAAACTATCTTTAATATACTGTCACATTAACAATATATTATAATATTTATACATGTGCCATTCTAATGTTGTGGACAGAATTCTGAATTTAAAAAATAATTTGCTTCATATTTTGTATTAAAAATATTTCTTTAAAGGTTGATAGTAGTGCTGTTCTCTTATGCTTAGCAGACGTGGTTTTTTTAAGAAAGCTTTTTATGAGTACAAACCCTTGCCAAAAGTAAGCAAAAATGCTGACTTACTGTTTCTGATTTCAAGGAATTTTGTATTTTTATGTTTTTACTCTCAAACTTCTACTACAAAACACAGGAAAAAAACTTCAGAATACAGGTTTTTTCCTCATACTCGTATACGCAGAGTATGAGTATTTGCAAGTTAGCGGTACAGTTGAATGCATCTGTTTTGTAAAGTCTTCTTTTTTTTTAAATCCAACTGTGTTTTAAGTTCATTACCTCTAGCTAGCCTGCTTTTTTCTATTTCTAAAACTTCTTATCAAATTATTGCTTCATCCAATGTAGACAGAAGACGAATCTTAGCTCAATTGTCTGACTAATAAAACCAGCTATGCCATGTTTTTGCATGCCACTGACTTGTTCTTTAATAAAGTAATCTATATGAAGCCTGACAATGTTTTGTACGCACTTATTGAAGAAAACGTCCCTGTCACTTCTCTGTTTGTAGCTTACCGTTGAAATACGTCCTTTCATCTGTAACTGCCTCAATCAGGAAAAATTCAGATTTTCAGAATACTCAAGGTTGGTCTTTCAGCTGGAATCTACAAGTAATACTGTATAAACTGGAGTGAATCTATTATCACTTCACAGGGTAAAAACAACAGTGGTGCTGATTGCTTTCTAACTTAGAAATTATTCTTTTAGCATTTGCTGTTTGGGTTTAGTTATTGCATGACTTGTAACTCACTAACAACTCTGTTCATCCTTGTTTTGAAACAGAGAATACATGTAGGATTTCAGTCCTATTATCCGTAGGCTGTGTGTGTGAGGAAACATCAGTGATACCATTAAATTTACTTTGGCTTTAATGCGGAAGTAGTATATTATATGTTAAGCACTGAACTACAAATGTTCTCACTTCATTCCTCCATGTTAGTTCCATTAAATTTGCAGCAAAAGAACATCACTGACATGTCCATGTGGCAGAATCTCAGGATTTTATAACTCACTTTGTTATTATTGTTTAAGCTGCTGAGTCAGACAGCAAACATTTTTAGATGTTTGTGCATTCAACAATATCTGCTGTGTTTTCATTCTCTTGTTTTTCTTCCTGACTGTTGGAATCAATGTAAATACACCTGCTGGTGCTGCAGTGCTCTCTTTGTGTGATTATCTGATATGTTTATAGTGACAGGTGGTGGTCTGTGAAATAAAAGCAATAGCAACTTCAAAGTGTGCCAGTTGTTCAGGGAATTCCTGTTACTGGTGGTTTGTTTTTTTTTTCTAGTAGGAGAGGGAAAATCTTTGAAAGAAAAGTTTATTATATTTTCCAGGTAGACTTTTACAGAAACAACTGTGTTGTTGAAGTCAGGGGGTTTTATTGGTTAGAAGTGGTGATTTCAGAGCTCTGTGTGGAAAAAAAACTTTCATGTGTTAGATGAACAGGAAGTTTCTCGTTTTCACCCTTTGCATACTTTCAAGGCCAACTCTGAAATATGTTTCAGCTCTAATTCTGTTTGTTGCTAAATTATTATTTTGATTGCTGGTGTTGCATAAAGTATAAAAAGCGGTGAGCTCTGCCACTTGAATGTAGTTGTGAAGTTGGGTTGCATTTTATATTTGTACTTGCTTGGTATTTGTCATTTAAAGACCCTAAGGAATAAGAAAATCAGTTTAGCAAGAAGTCCAGTGGCCTTAGCATATTTGAATAGTCTTATATACAGATAGGAAGAACCTGAAGTTGTTACTTTTCCAAGACAAGCATACGGAGATTGTTATAAAACCTAAGCGTGTCCGCTTAAGTCTGATCATCCAACTGCATTTGCAGACTGTAATTAGACTTAGTAGAATGTCAGGGTAACTGAACAGAAAAAATGCACTGTGATACTCTGACTTTGACATTTTAATTTTTTGTTTTAATTGTTACAAGATCAAAATATTTAAGATAACTTCTCTATTGAAGGTTTAGCAACTTGAATTCACAAATGTATATGGTTACAGCTAAGCTTTTTGTCAAACGCTGACAGATTTTTAAAATTTTTTTTCCTACTGATTAATTTCTTGTAAAAGAAATGAAACTACATATTTATGTAGAGACATTTACATGTTACAGTAGGATTTCATAATATTCTATGAATCGACCATAATATTAGATCAGCTTGTAATTGCAAAACCTAAATGGGAATATAAACTAAGTAATTTCTCTCACATAGAATTTTAGGATCTGCAGGTCTTACTGTTTGGAAGTCTGAAGAATGCTCGCTTTCATGGAAACTTCGACAGGTTGTGTTACCACATTCACTTTACTCATAGCCTTCACTTAAATTACTGTATAGGTTCTCTGTTGCACAGGACCTTGACAAATGAGGTTCGCCTCAGCTCTGCAGGATAAACAAGATTTTTAGGCAAGTTGTTTTCACTCGTCACCCAAATTCTCCTTGCACCCTTTCCTGCCTCATGCAAAAGTAATTTCTTCTGAAGCTTAAACTATATTTTAGGATTACTTTTGCTAAGGGCTAGTATCGCATACTACTGAAGCCATTGCACAAAAAAATTAACAAAATTACCTCCAAACCAAATAAATATATTGATTGTATTGATTGTACTCACTACAAATGACAGCAATTTTTAAAGT